AGTCTCTCACACAAAAATTCATACATACATTGTTTTGTGACCCTAGTTGCTCTCCCTATACTGTGACAGCACACTCTTCCTTTCCACCCTAGACTTCCCCTGTCCATTCAGGCAGCTCTTGACCCTCTCTGCCTTCTCATCTCGCCTCTGGAAAGGAGCTGCCCATTTAGTCTCATGTATCTACTTGGGCTAAGAAGCACAGTCTTCACGAGTATCATTTTATGTCCCATAGTCCAGTCTAATCTTTGTCTGAAGAGATGGCCTCGGGAATGGTTTTAGTTCTGGGTTGACAGAGAGTCCAGGGGCCATGTCTTCTGGGGTCCCTCCAGTCTCAGTCAAACCGTTAAGTCTGGTCTTTTTACTATAATTTGAGTTCTGCACCCCATTTTTTTCTGGCTCCATCAGGGACTCTCTGTTGTGTTCCCTGTCAGGGGAGTCATTGCTGGTAGCCGGGCACCATCTAGTTCTTTTGGTCTCAGGCTGATGAAGTCTTTGGTTTATGTGGCCCTTCTGTCTCTTGGGCTAATACTTTCCTTGTGTCTTGGGTGTTCTTCATTCTCCTTTGTTCCAGGTGGGTTGGGACCAACTGATGCATCTTAGGTGGCCGCTCACTAGCTTTTAATACCACAGGCACCACTCACCAAAGTGGGATGCAGAACATTTTCTTAATAAACTTTGTTATGCCAGTTGACCTAGATGTCCCCTGAAGCCATGGTCCCCAAACTTCCGCCCCTGCTACTCTGTCCCTTGAAGTGTTTGATTGTATTCAGGAAACTTCTTAGCTTTGGTTTAGTCCAGTTGTGCTGACTTCCCCTGTAGTGTGTGCTGTCCTTCCCTTCACCTAAGATAATTCTTGTCTACTTTCTAGTTCGTGAATAACCCTCTCCCTCCCTCCCCACCCTCCTAACCATCAAAGAATGTTTTCTTCTGTGTTTAAACCTTTTCTTGAGTTCTTATAATAGTGGACTTATACAATATTTGTCCTTTTGTGACTGACTAAATTCACTCAGCATAATGCCTTGCAGATTCATCCATGTTGTGAGATGTTTCGCGGATTCATCATTGTTCTTTATCATTGTGTACTATTCCATTGTGTGCATATACTATGATTTGTTTATTCATTCGTCCGTTGAAGGGCACCTAGGTTGTTTCCATCTTTTTGCTGTCGTGAACAGTGCTGCAATGAACCTGGGTGTGCATATATCTATTTGTGTGACAGCTCTTATTTTTCTAGGATATATTTCAAGGAGCAGGATTGCTAGATCATATGGTACTTCTACTTCTAGCTTTTTAATAAAGTGCCAAACCGATTTCCAAAGTGGTTTTACCATTTTACATTCCCACCAACAGTGTATAAGTGTTCCAGTCTCTCCACAACCTCTCTAACATTTATTATTTTGTGTTTTTGGATTAATGCTAGCCTTGTTGGGGTGAGATGGCATCTCATTGTAGTTTTGATCTGCATTTCTCTAATGCTAATGATTGTGAGCATTTCCTCATGTGTCTGTTAGCCACTTAAATGTCTTCTTTGGCAAAGTGCCTGTTCATATCCTTTGCCCATTTTTTAATTGGGTTGTTTGTCTTTTTGTTGTTGAGGTTTTGCAGTATCTTGTAGATTTCAGAGATTAGACACTGATCAGATTTGTCATAGCCAAAAATTTTTTCCCAGTCTGTAGGTTGTCTTTTTATTCTTTTGGTGAAGTCTTTTGATGAGCATAAGTATTTGATTTTTAGGAGCTCCCAGTTATCTAGTTTCTCTTCTGGCGTTTGTGCTTTGTTACTTATGGTTTGTATTCTGTTTATGCCATGTTCTCAATATTTAATTAAAGCATTTAAAAGAACTTGATGAAGAAATGGTCAAGGTGTGAGATAAGCCCCGATAAACTGGCATTCTGGAGTGGAGTGCTAAAATTAGGAGTGCTTGGTTCTGGTGGCGGCTCCTAACTTATGCTCTGACCTGTGTAGAGGCACTTACGTTCCTGTTCCAGTCTTCTCAGTTGGTAAATAGGGATAATACACGCAACACAGAAATCTTCTGAGGGTCAAAAGAGACAATGGATATGAAAATGCCTTGTAAACATAAAAGATGCTACACAAATGGAGGAGCCTTGGTGGCGCAGTGGTGAAGAGCTCGGCTGCTAACCAAAAAGGTTGGCAGTTCGAATCCACCAGCTGCTCCTTGGAAACCCTATGGGGCAGTTCTACTCTGTTCTATAGGGTCACTACGAGTCGGAATCAACTCGACGGTAACGAGTTTTTCGGGTATACAAATGGAAGGTGGTGGCATTGTTCTTGGCAATTCCAGATTTGCTTGGTACAGAACAGTGACTCAGAGTCTTAAACTCCCAGGTTAAAGAAATGGGCTGTGGTGCTGCTCTTGCAGCTTCACAGGGTGTAAGGGTAACTAGGTTGTAGGATTAACGTCAATTACCCAGGCAGGGTAGGGCTTGTTCCCCAGGCTGTGCCTCAGTTGAGCGGTTTAGCAGGAACACGAAGCCACTCCTACCGCCCTGCCTTCTGGTAAACTAGACTTCCTAGGGACAGGGCATGGAGCCCCCAGCTCACGTCTGAGTGTCTCCTTCTCCTCTAAACCCAGACCACTCCTCAATAGAGTGAGCTCAAGGGATTCAATTCCTACTTTACATCAGCGGGAGGCACATGCAATAAAGCGGCCAGTCCGTGCACCTGTCCACACTCAACTCCACGCTTTGAACGCTGCACCCACCAGATTACAACCAGATTACTGCTTCCCCCGTTTAAAAAAACAACTTCCCAAGCAAACACAAGATTTGCTATTGTTTTGGTTTTGCTTCTTTCGTTACATCCATGTTCCTGTTGCCTTCCGCTACAGGGGAGAAGCACAAGCTGAAGGAGACGGGCACGTGTGTTCAGCAGGTGGACTGTGACCTTTATGGTTCCTCTTCAATCCCTGGCCCGCCCACTCACCAGAGCTCCTTGGACAGTATCCATTGTCTCTGGAAGCCCCAGAAGATTTATGGGTAAAATCTATGATTAATCCCATTCAACAAGTGAGAAGGCTCTGCAACAGGGAAGTAAGTGCCTCTACCCTCACAGTTGGGGGTCTTCACCCCCGAAGCAACTCCTCAGCCCTCTCCTGGTGGAGCACTGATTTGCACACAGGTGTTCTGCCCTTGAGGGCAGGGCTGGGGGTGGGGCAGGGTTCAGATTCTACTTGTCTTTGCAAATCCCTTCATTAACTTGCTCATAATAGGTATGTCTTAGATAAAGTTGAGTTCCTTTATATTTTTTTCAGGGCTTCGAACCGGTTCATTCCAGTTCAAACCCCTGCTGAGAATTTGCGTTTCCACTCCAGGTATACTGAATCAGAATCCACATTTTAACAAGATCCCCCAGGTGATTCTTACGTATAATAAGCTTTGAGAACTACGGTTCTGTTAGTTGTTCTCAGAATTGGTCCCTAACAAGCAGCATTAACATCTCCCGGGAACTTGTTAGAAACGCAAATTCTCAGCAGGGGTTGGAGTCAGAACCGACCGGTTGGAAGCCCTGTGTTTTTTTTATTTTTTTTATTTTTAAGGATGTTAAGAACCAAACGATCCCTCCACCCTGGCATTCCCTGGGCGCCCAAGTCCTGTCTCCCTCTGCATAAGAAGGGCTCCCTGACAACCAGGCTGTGGCCCCACCAACAGCACCTCCACCGCGAGCTCCTCCTCCCAGACTCTCAAGAAAACCAGCCCCGGCTCTTCCCCCAGCGTCCTGCTATCTGCCCACAAGAGGGCGCTCGCTGCAAGCCCCAAACTGTTGTCCACTAGGGGAAGTACTTTTACGGAAAGAGCTGAATAGAGCTAAGGCTTGGGCGTGGCTGTGCAGCGTGGAAGCTTGCACCCGCTCCCACCTTCACTGCGGAAGGAGAAGGAACCTGGAGGGGGAGGGCCTCCGATCAGGTGCGGTTCTCAGCCTTCTTGGAATGGTTCGCCAATCCCCACCCAGTGATGGAGGAAGAAGACTTAATTCTACAAAGTTGGGCCCTAAGGGAAGCAGGGAGGTGAATGAGAGGAGGAGGATGTGATACGCATCTGAGTTCGAGATCCCTTTCCGGCAGAACCTGGAGAGGAACTTGCCCAACTCAGACGAGGCGCAAGAGAGGAGGAGAGGCAAGCAAATGTCCCATGGCCCTGAAGCAAAATCTACCCCCTTCCCTTCCCTGTCCCTCCTGCCTGAAAACACTAATTCAGACAGTGGACAATAATGCAGACGATTAATCATCTTCTCTGGTGGCGGCTGAGGACCAGATTTGGCTCTGGTGGAATAACTGTGGTGATTCATTCTGTCAATATTGACTGAAAGACTTGAAGCTGCTTTTGGCCCAGCCCCGTTTGTAAGCACCCCATTACACATTCCTGCAGCTGCCCACTCCTCAGACCCCCCCCCCCCAATATAAAGGACCTTGTCGCAGAGTGCTGGGACAGACTCCTAAAGTGTGTTGCTCCCACCTCCAGCTGGGGCATGGGCAGCCAGAGTAAGCTCAGCCATACAGTCTCCTCATTGGTCGCAAACTTCCTGGGGCCAGCCCTCCCTGCAACTCCTTCACTGTGGGGAGAAAGTGAACCAGCCCTGCCCCAGGGCCCTTCTGGCCCTGCCCCTCTCAACACGCCCAGAGCAAAATTCACTTCTTCCCCGATGAGATGGGACTCTATCTCTGTCCCACTTCTAGGAGCCCCGACCCCCATGACAGCCCACTCAGGCACCATCTCCTTCTCTAAGCTTGTCCCAGAACCCTCTCAGCTGGGGACCATTTTAGCTTTTCCTGAAAGTGTCTTCATCCAGAGGGAGCATCTTTTTCTAAGTCACCTTGTGAGCTAGCAGCAGCCCTGTCAGGATGGAGCCGCCATCTTGTGGCCCCTCCCACCATTCTCCTGCCTGGGAGTCCCTCCCAGAGGTTGCCAGTGAGTAAACCTTCTGACTGGCATCACGCAGAATGAGAAAGCAGAAATAATGGCAGAGTTAGGACACAGGTGTAGACTTGGCCAAAAAGAAAACCACATATATTTATTGTACAATTACCCGCCGCTGGATTTGACTCACACGGGTGCCCTAGAGGGTGTCTCCACCTTCCTAATTTATGTTTAGCCCTTGAGGGCCTCATTGTAGATCATAGCCAAGGCCCCCAGGAAGGTGACATATTCCTGGAAGTTCACCTCCTGGTCCTTGTTCTGGTCCAGGTCCTCCATCAGCCTTGCAATTTCAGCATCCTGCAGGTGCTAATGCGTGAGAATGGGAAATCCAGGCTCAGTCGTGGTGAGAACCCTGGATTCTCTCCCTTTCGGCTGCCTCCGGGGATTTCCCTCCAGTCCCCGTCCCAGGCAGCCCTCTCTCATACAAGTGGCCCTGTGCTCACTTGTCACTAAGGATCCACCTTAGTGTTCCTTGGGCTCACCTTGGGTTCTTCTCTCTCCTCCTGCTCCTCCAAAACCAAAAAACCAAACCCACTGCCATTGAGTTGATTCCGACTCATAGCAACCCTATTGGACAGAGTAGAACTGCCCCATAGAGTTTCCAAGGAGCACCTGGAGGAGCGAATACCAGGCTGAGAGTGTCCCCCACTCCCTCAGGGAAGTGGGTCTACAGCTTAGGGAGGAACCAGGACCCCAAAATGTGGATATTTGTGAATCCAAAGCTCCGGGCACCTCCCTCTCTAAGTCTGTTTCTAAAGGGAAGAGGAGGGGGTCTGGGGAAGAGGCCCACTCACCGGGCCGATGGTGAGCTCCTTCTTGATCAGCTCCTTCAGCTCCTTCTTGCTCAGGCTGTTCTTGTCACCCTCCTTACCAGCGTATTGGTGGAAGATGGCCACAAGGAGACCAATGGCCTGGTCCAGGGGGCATGCCATGGCTGAGGGCTGGGCTTGGAGCTGGGGACAGAGGGGCTGGTCAGTGCCCAGTGGGCCAGGCCTTGGGCAAGAGGGACTTCTCATCACCCACACACCCCAAGAGTTCTGTCCTCAGTACACCCACACACACACTCATTCCCTTTGCCCAAAGACAGGCGGCATCAGGAGGGCAGCCCAGGGCTTGAAGGCAGGGCTTGAAGGGGAGGAAGAGAGCAGATTCTAGCACCAAGAGATCAGTGCTCTGAGAGGGTTCAGAGCTGAGGATCAGAGGGGTTCAAGGATTCCAGGCAGCAAACAGGGCCAGTGCTTGAGCACAGCTGAGACCTATCCTCCAGGGGTTCCGGAGGAAGCTGGGGAGTGTGAGGGGGGCTGCACACACAGCCACACGCACACAGCCTCACGGGGCCACACGCGGTGACGCTGGCACGCCCGCAGACACACCCTCCCGCACCCGAGAAGGGCACACTCAGGGGAGCCGCCCCATCCAGGCGCCTTAGCCCGGGGCTGCCCGGCACTCCTGCCGCCCCTGACTCTCCCCGCCCCTCCGGGGCTCCACAGACCGGCCCGGTCGGCACCCAAGCGCCGTCCGCAGCCCACGGAGCCCCCCGCGGCCGGGCTGGGCAGGGGGTGGCTGCGCCCCTGGCCCGAGTGCGGGCTGGCCGAGTGGGAACTCACCTCACGGATGCAGCAAAGCGCCAAGGGAGCGGTGCAAGGGATGGGCCGTGTCTCCGCGGGGCCGGCCTGATAACGGGGCCCGTCCCGGAGGCCGGCCTTATAGCGGGCCCGGTCCAGGAGGCCGGCCCGGGGAGAGCCCAGCCCGCGCGCCCGGCCCGCCCCGGCCCGCCTTACACAACAGCACGCGGCCCCGGGCCCCCCCGCCCCAACTTTCCACGCCTCCTGCCCTGGGGCGATTCCGGGTTGGGGCGCGGCCGGTGGCGCCCAGCAGAAGGCCAGGAGCGCCTAGTGGAGCTTCGCCTGATCCCCTAGCTCAGTGACACGGGATGGGACAGAGGAGGGCACGGGACGGCGGCAGTCCCTGGATACCTCTTCCTCAGCTGTCTGCGTGCCGAAGCATGTGTGTGTCCCCAAGCGCAGGGCCAGCGTGTGGGGGGCAGTGGGGCGGGGGAGATAGGAGAATGGTGCCCTCACAGGATGCTGGTGTCTCCCAGAGGGTGTTCAGGGTCAACCCTAGACGGGGGAAAGGGCAGCGCCCAGTGGTCCACAAGATAGGATTTAAAGGCTATCTAGAAGCACTCACCGCCCAGCGAAAATCCCTGCCGCCACCCCTACTCCATCCCCGCCCCCCACTGCCTGGAATTCTACCCTTACAGGCTCTTGTCCATCAATGTGCGCACACCCCTGAGCCGAGCCTGCCCCCATCATTGGGTATGTACCCTTGAGTGGAAAAGTTTCTCAAATCCTCTCCCAAGAAAAGACTTTGATAGGGGCGGGGTAGGAGGGCAGGAAAAGCAAGAAACTCTGAACCCCAGAGATGATGGGGAAGGGTGCTGAGGATGGGAGCAGAGGAAAGGGAAAGGGGCTGGCATGGTGGCCAGGCCAGACTTCCCTTTCTAGCCAGCGTTGCCAGGGTGGCCTAACCTGAGCTAAAGACAAGTCAGACCGGCTTGCCTATCGCTTCCCCCAGGAACCACACCCCAACCGCCCCCATTGCCCTCTTGCTCCACTTTCCCTCAGCTGTCTCTATATCTTTACAGCGTTCCTGGGAGGCAAACAGAAATCAGACCCAACTTCCCCGTTTTCCTGACGACAAAACCAAGCCAAGACAAGCTCAGTGACTTCCACGTTTCAGAAGAACAGGAAGTGGGGTGGGAGATACCCAGAGGGGCTCAGCTCACTCAAGGAGAAGCCCCAACTCATAGCAACCATATAAGACAGTAGAACTGCCCCCCACCCGCCCAGCCACCATGGGGTTTCCAAGGAGTGGCTGATGGATTCGAATAGCAGCCGAGCTCTTAACCACTGCACCACTGGGGCTCCAGACACCTTCAAAACCAATCTCCAAACACCCGGAGTGGAAAATCTTTATTTCCTCTGCTGGAAGGGGAGGCTGGAGCAGAGTTCATCAGGGAGGGAGAAGAGGATTGGGGTCTAAAGAGGGTCTGTGAGCAGAGCTGCAGAGGCTGGGGACGTGCAGTGATGGTGAGGGCACAGGAAACCCAGTCATTTGTTGTCCTCCAGGAAGAAGTCATTGTAGGCCATACACAGCGTGGTCAGGAACACCGAGTACTCCTTGAAGTCGATCTCCCGGTCACTGTTTTTGTCCAGGTTCTTCATCAGGTCATCAATGCTGCTCTCCTGCATCTTCTGGAAGGGTCCAGGTGGAGGGACAGGTTAGCAACCCCTCCCAGCCCTGCCCAAACACTGCATGGCCCCACCCATCCCCAGGAGGGCAGCCCCGGGGTGATCCCCAGCCAAGTGAGCAGCACTGTGAGCATCCTGACCCCTGGAGTCTTCCCCACACCCAGCCCAGGACCTGGCACCAAGTAGAGCTCAGTGACCTGACTCCCAAATCTTAATAAATTATAATAGGAAGCTAAGCTAGCCAGCCTTCCCCTCAATACCTTGCCCCATCCAAATAGATAATACAGATTTTATACCAACACATAATGAAAATGACACTAATTATGTGGCACCGAGGATTATCCAAGTCTCTAACTTATTCTGTCCCCCTTTTAAGGAATAATTGAGAATTGACCCAGACAAGACATCTCTCCATGAGACCACTGCATTGAAGCTAAGAAACCACCCATCCCTCTGAGCTTGCAGGAGGGCTGGTATGGAGGCAGTACTTCTGTCTGGTCCCCTGCCCCCCCATCCACCAGGTGACAGGGCCCCAGGGCGGTACAGGAGGAAAATACAGACAAGCAGATCCTGCCCTCAGCTGCAGGTTTTCCCCAGGAGACAGAGCGTCGGGACATACATAGATGGAAACAGCGTGCTGTGATGGTGATCCTTGTCCCCAGCCTGGGCTCCTGTTATAGCCAGGCCCTCCCCCAGGTCTCTGTCCCCCTGTTATTAAGCCCTGCTGGGCCCATGGCCCCTCCCTCTGCCCTCATTAACTCCAGGATGCAGAGAACCTGTCAGGAAGGCCAGAAAGCAGGCCTGGTGACACCCACACCTGCTTTAGCACCCTGCCCATAGAAGAATGCCTTGGAGAGCTTCTCTCTCAGGAGGCCCATCAAGGCCCAGGATGTGTGGTGACGGGAAAGATCCCAGGCTGAATTTTAAAGAGAAAAGGGAGGGTGATGCATAGGCCTGGCCTGGAATTTCAGCTCAGCTTCTCATTCACCAGGTGTCCTTGAACCCCCTATATAATGTATCTGTTATGGATTGAATTGTGTCCCTCCAAAACATGTATTAGAATCCTAACCCCCATGCCTATTGATGTAATCCTGTTTAGAAATAGGGTGTTCTTTGTTACATTAATTAGATCATACCTAAGTAGGGAGGTTTTGAATCTAATCACTTCTGAGTTATAAAAAGAGCAGATCAGACACGGAAACACACACACACACCAGAGAAGACAGATGCCACATGAGCATCACCAAGAACCCAGGAACACCCAGGGCTACCGACAAGGAAGGAATTGACATGACTGAGACCCTGATTTGGACTTTCAGCTTCCAGAACTGTGAGAAAATAAATTTCTGTTCTTCAAAGCCCACCCACTTGCGGTATTTGTGTAGCAGCAGCCCTAGCTAACTAAGACAATATCTGAGCGGCAATTTTCTTCACTGTAAAAATAATGTAATGCCTACCTCATGGGCCTCTCCCTCTGTCAGCACCTCCCTCCCACCGTTCCCATCTGGTTAGAATCAGTCTGTTGCTTTCCTGCTCTGTGCTCACTAATGAGTAGGACTGTCCTTGTGGTTCCCACGTCAACACCCTCTGAAAGCCCTGGATGCACCAGGCACACGGAGAAGGCTCAGGCAAGGTCCCTGCCCGTGGGATGCACACCTCTCGACCCCGACGCCCTGGATCCCTTCATCCCCCGTGATCCCTTGCACAGCCTGGCCCCACCAGCCCAGGTTCTTTGCTGTCCTTCTCTAACCCCTCACACAGGCGTAGCCCCACCCTTCAGACACAGCCCCTCCCCCTTCCCAGTAAAGCCCTGACCCATCCCTAGGACAGAGACCTAGGACTGTGTTGACCTGAGTTGTCCACTGTCTTCCTCTGTCTCTCTCCATACCCTTCAGCCATCCTGCTCTGGCTTAGGCTCGAGAACGCTGTGGATGGCAGGGGATGTCCCTTCATACTGACTCTCTGTGAGGGTGAGGCTGAGCCTCTGGCAGTAGGATTGGTGTTTCCTCTTTCTCTTCCCTCTTTTTTTTTTTGGTCTCCTCTCCTTCATACTGCCCACAGGAAGCACCCAGACTTTGGAACGGGGGTGAGGGGATAGCCACTTACCTCCCCAAGACACAGCTCCTCCTTAATCAGCTCCTTCAGTTCCTTCCTACTCAGGGTCAGTTTGCTGCCCTCTCTCCCCGAATATTTGTGGAAAGTGGTGACCATGGTGGTCAAGGCCTTCTCAAGAGGAGTCTCCATTACAGTCTGCAACTCTGGAGGGTGAAGAAAGCATCAGGTTCTTCAGGAGGCCAGATCTTGTGCTTTCCTCCCATCACCAGCCCACCCACAAGGCCCTGTGTCAAAGAACCAGAGGCTGGAGCCCATGGTGAGACCGAGATCCACCAGCCAGTGGACCCAGATGCATCAGGACAGGCTATGACGAGACCAAGGCAAGCTTTGGAGCAGGCAGAGGGATGAGACCAGCAGCCACCAAAGGAGACTGCAAACTCTCCTGCACAGGAAATGTTTGAAAAAGAGACTAGGGGCAGAGGGATGACACAATGACCTTCCTGAAAAGAACTGGTGACAGTTGGTGGAGTACAGAAAAGGTCAGGATTTTCTCTCTGCCCCACTGAGCTTGGGCACTGGTTTCCAGAGGCAGTCCCTGCCCTAGTCACCCTCCTTTGCCCCAGTGCCTGAATGACCTGATATTGGGGAGTATCCCATTATAGAAGTGGGGGCAGGGCAAAAAGAGAGTCCAGGGGTTGAAGGGGGGCTGGGGCTGGAGCTGGAACGGGGGAGATATGGTCTCAACAGGAAGCAGGGGAGAGGCAATTGTGCTTGCCCAGCTGGTTTCCAATCGCCAGCCCAGAGATTTGCACACACATGAGCTGGCTGGCAAAGAGGCCCAGGGGGTGGACTTATGGCATCGCCGGGATCATTCTGAGACCACCCAGGCAGGGGACTCTGGGCATCTGCAGGGGCATCCTGGCTGGTTCTGATCCCACCTTCATCCCCAGAGCATTTCTCAGGAAAGTTCTGGTCACCACAGTTCCACATACCCTGCCCAATCCTCATCAGCTCAGGTCTCCCTCTGCAGAGGGTCCCACAGCTTGTCACTCTCAGAGCTCATCACCCAGCTTGCCCCACCAGATGACAGGGACGCGAGAAGGAAGGACTCACCAAAGGAAGAGCAAGCCCAGAGAATCCCAGCGGCAGAAACAGGTTCCCTCCCACTGCTCTCTGCCTTTATTCCCTTGCTCCAGCCCCCCAGGAAACCAAGGACCACAAAGAGCCAATGAGAAGGGGTCAGGGACATGAGGAGGCCCAGGTCAGAGCCTCCTGGGACAGAGGTGAAGAGAAACCCCCTCCGCCAATCTCATCTTCCTTGTTTACAAACAGAGGGAATGGGGGCACACTGGGGTCATCATGACACACACATTTTCCAATCCAAAAATCGGAACCCACGATCTGATGGAACAATCGGGCATAAGAGGGGAAGTCAGTCTGCCTGGAAAGAAAACCCAGGGGGTGTGGGTCAAACACAGGGTATCTTCCCATGCCCTAGACCACTCTCCACATTGGGACACCCGAACTCATGCTCCCAGTCACCCCAAGAGCAGAGCGGACACGCCTGGAGATGACAATCAGTGGAGAATATTTTTCCTGCCAAGGGCATGGCAAGGTCATTGGCTAGTACAGAGCTTAAGGTTTTTAAGGCGTTTTTATTTTTTTATTTTTTATTTTTATTGTTGTAGTTTAAATGAAGTTTACATTTCAAGTTAGTCTCCCATACAAAAATTTATACATACATTGTTATGTGACCCCAATTGCTCCCCCTGTACAGTGACAGCACACTCCCCCTTTCCACCCCTAATTCCCCAAGTCCATTCAACCAGCTCCTATCTCTCTCTGCTTTCTCATCCCACCTCGGACAGGAGCTGCCCATTTAGTCTAATGTATCTACTTGAGCTAAGAGGCACGCTCCTCGCTAGTATCATTTTATGTCCCACAGTCCAGTCCAATCCGTGTCTGAAGGGTTGGCCCTGGAAATAGTTTTAAGGTGTTTTTAAATAAATGATTTCTTCTAAACCTCACTAATGTTCATGAGAAAGAATTGTTGAAGATCTTTGGAATGGAGGACGAGAAGCAGGACTTGGGGAGGGGATCCAGGGAAGGAGTAGGACCTAGTGATGGGGCAGAGTCCAGGTTTAGGGTGCAGTCATGAAGCCGGTAGGGAGGAGAGAGAATTGCCTGCATCCCAGAGAGACTCAGACACCAACCAGTTCAAGTAGGAGAACATTTACCAAGTTAGGGGCTCAGCAACCAATGGCAGCCACAGCGTCACCCTAGCCTGCCTGGATCATCCCCCCTGCTCCCCACTCTACCTTCACCCCGAGCTGGCAGGGCTGGAAAGGCAGCAGGGACTGGTTGCTAAGCAACAGGAGTTTCTGAAGCAGAAGGCTCTGGGGAGGGCAGACTGGCTGGGAGAGGGACAGTGGGGAGGGAGAAGGGAGAGGAAAGAGGAGGAAGGCAAACTTTTTCCTGGACCAAAATTCTTCCCAAATCTCTGTGGCCAGACTCTGACAGAACCGCTGAGTCACCTACTGCACGCTTCGGGAACTTAGGAGAAAACACAGCATAGTGAGTGCAAGGAAGAGAAGCTTGAGAGGTCAAGGGGACCAGACCCTGCCTCTGAACCTGACCTCAACGCATCTCTTCCTTCAAGGTCTCCCATATCATCCAACATCAGTCCTGCCCACTGCACACCGCGGCCCACGGGCTTTAACCGACCCTAAGCAAAGCAACATCGCGCCTGCCATTTTCTGGGAAAAAAACCAACAATCTCCATTTCATTTATCAGATCATCAGTCTGAAATCTTGTCTCCAAAAATATGGTCACTTCACACCATCTCCCTCACTCCCACCCCCACACCCCCACAACCACCGATCTCCACTCATCCTTCTCAAGGCCCCTTGTCCTTCTCTGAAAGTGCAGGATTCCTAATTGGTAACAGATCTAGTCCCCTGGGCCTTTGGAGCAGGGACAGTGGGCTGGAGAATGGCTGTATTCTCATGCTGCTACAAACATCCCTATCTCCCCCCATATCGCCTCCCTGATCCAACCATGGGCAGCAAAGGATTAATCCATCCCTGTGGTTTGCAGCCAATGGACTGTAAATGTCAGGCCTGAGAGCCAGCCCTCCTCCCCATCCCCCTCAGACTCAGGACAGACCTTCCACACACACCCTGCCCTCACTACTCCCTCTCCGTGACTCAACCTTATTTCCTTCCCCACCCCTCATCACCCTCGGGGCACCCAAACTCTTTTCCAGACCCCAACTAGGAGCAGATGTGCCCTTCAAGCTCATCGCAGCCTCAGTTAGAGGTCCTGCCAGAGGCGAGGTTGGAGTGAGGTGGGAGGGGGGAGTTGGCTGACTAAGACCTCACAGTTGGGCATTCCAAGCCTCTGGTGGCCCCTTTCCCTGCCTTCAGCCCCATCCAGAGTCAGCTCTATCCCCTCCCCCACACGCACACCCTCAGTCACTCCACACCCCTCCCCCACCTTCCCTAGTCTGCTCCCCACAAAACTGCAATTCAGCTACCAGCACTGCTGGCCACAACCCCACAAACCCTCACGTCCCTGGCGGCCCCTCAGCCCTCACAGTCTCGCAGACCAGCAGCCTCATGGTTTCCAAGAACCTTTATTGAATTTGCTCAGCAGGATGCACATGCACACATCGCAGCACCCCCACTGCCAGCAGGGGAGACCCCAGCCAGGAGAGCCCCCCGACGACATAGGAGGAGCATTCATTTCTTCCGGGGCTGCTTATCGGGGCAGCCTTCGAAGAATTCGTTACACATCATGGCGATGCAGGACAGGAAGACACAGTACTCCTGGAAGTCCACCTCGTTGTCCTTGTTGCTGTCCAAGTTGCTCATCAGCTTCTGGAACGCAGCTTCGTCTGTTCTTTTCTGGAGGGAGAAGAGGCTACACATGAAAAACTGAAGGCCGGTGGTAGAACAGAAACTCTGGTGGCGCAGTGGTTAAGAGCTACGGCTGCTAACCAAAAGCTCAGCAGTTGGAATCCACCAAGTGCTCCTTGGAAACCCTATGGGGCAGTTCTACTCTGTCCTCTAGGGTCACTATGAGTCGGAATCAACTCGACAACAACAGGTTAGGTTTGGTGGTAGAGTCAAGATTAGAATCAGCTTTCAACCTCTAGCTCAGAGCTCCAGAGGCTTACATAGCCACTCCTTTAGGGGACCCAGCCTTTGGAACTCCAGACCTCAGGACTAAGCTACAGCAGGAGGATGTCCCTTGGATGAGAAAGAGTTTGCTGACTACCTGGATGTTGTCAATTGAAAAATGGGGCCACAACATCTTCTCCCAGGGTTGTTTTAAGAATCCAATTAGTTTTGCTGAAGGGTTTATGTTAATGGTGGTAGAATAATTTGGAAAAGGATAGCGAGAACGGTTGCACAACTTGAAGAATGTAATCAACATCAACGTCATTGAGTTATACATGTGGAAATTGTTGAATTGGCTTTGTTTTGTTGTGTACATTTTTCACTACAATAAGAACAAAAAAACTAAAGAAAAAGAATCCAATTAGGTAATGGTCATGAAAGCAACACATAAACTGTATAAAGTTTGATACAAATGGAAGCTGTTATCATTTGGGGGAAGGTCTGTAGGCGTATGAGTGGCTTCATAACTGGGTCTTCACATTCACAGGACAAATGGAAACTCAGAGATTCTCCGTTCCTGAAGTGGTAGCAAGACTCAGGCAGTCTCTGTTTGGATCTCAGTTTTGTGCACTAAATACCTTGAGAAGTTATTTAGCCTCTCTAAGCTTCAGTTTTCCCTCCAGTTAGGTTATATAATAAGTGCAAAACACCTAGCAGTATCTATCCCATTGCCTACCTGTTCATTCTCTGTCTGCTTCCTGTCTGAGGCCAGTAAGTGAGTGGGGGTGTTCGCTGTGTTTCCACCCCAGGTATCCAATGCAAGCTCTCTGCCCCATCTCCCACTTCCCCATTCCAGTGACAGATACCAATCATAGCTAATGATCTACAAAAGGCCCCTTGTTCTTCCTCTGTGGGGACGTCTCTTGGGGCACCCTCTCAGGCAGCACCTACTCACCCCCAAGAAGCTGGGAAGCTCCCGGGTCAGCAGCTCCTGTAGCTCTGACCTGTTGAGCTTGAACTTGTCACCGTCCTTAGCCGAGTATTTGTGGAAGGTGGACACCATCACATCCAGGGCCTTCTCCAGAGGGTGTGCCATGGCAGCTGTCAGGACCTGGGGGTGGGGGTCAGAGAGGCACCCTTACCTACCCCACCAGCAGCTATGTGTCCTCAGTGCCGCACCCCACTCCCCATCCTTCAAGGATCCCTTGGTGAGACACTGCTCCCACGGTGGGAGGAGCCCAGGAGGGTGGGCTCAGCTCCTGGGGGTGGAGGTGGGCCTGTGGAGAGGGAAACACGTGCTTCAAGCAACAAACTTGTGCAGGACCCACTGCACTGGCTCTGGAGACTCAGGCCGAGCTCCCTGGGCCTCCCTTAGGCGGTGCCTCGAGAACGCTTTTCCACTGCTCACTCAGTCCATTCACTCCCAAAGCCAGCCCGTGGCCTCCCGCCCCAGCCCATTCTTCTCCTCGCTCCCAGCGCTGGGCGCGGCCCCTGGAAGCCTGCCCAGGGCCCTGCAGCGGAAAAAACCAGCCGCCTTGTGCCTGGCAGGATGAGGTGGCACAGACAGGGACTCGGCGGAAGGAGGCCCAGGGCTGCCCTTGCAGAGCTCACGCGACACCACCAGACAGAAGCCCACAGCTGCTTTCCGCCTCCACTTGGCTCACCACGCCCGAGTGTGCACCAGTCTTGTGCAACCCAGCAAACACAAGCCAATGTGCATTCCCAGGATCACACACACCAAACACACTGCAGCAACAGCACACGCAACCCCCAGCATCTCAGCACCCTCAGATACCTCAGTCCAGCCACCTGCACCCTTGTTTCTGGGTGTTTGTTTTTCTTTCTTTTACACCCACACAAACACACACATCCCACCCCAGAGCCTCCACGTCGGAACCTCACATCTGGATCCATTTAGCACATCTGGCCCCCACCCACTTCCCCTTCCCCTGCCCCAGAGCCGCGGCCTGACCCCCCTTGCATGCCAGCCAGGCGACCACAGCTCACCAGACCCAGAGAGAGGAAGCACCGAGCAGGAGAGAAAAGTGGGGGAGGCTCAGCCTTCTGACCTCTTTATACCCTGGCCAGGTCCTGCCCATGGCAGGGGGTGGGGGAGAGCAGAGACACCCTCCCGCCCTGGGCCGATGTAGTAAGAGCCACGGCCCCCTCAACCAGCCCAGCCTGGACACCGTCTTCCGGCCCCCGGCAGGCACAGATGGGCAGTGAGTGAGCAGAGGGCGCAGGCAGGAACCTCCATGGGTGGGCACCACCCAGCATATAGAGCTCAGCCCTTAGGAAGCCAGAAGGAGGGGCCTCTGTGCCTAGCGTGTGGGCAACAGGGAGGGAGTTGTCCCCCTAGGCAGTAGGAAAGCTAGGAGTGGTGGGCGACAGATGGGAAATTCCCCCGGAAATGTGGCTCCCCAGAAACCAAGGGAGGGGAGACCCCGACCCAGTGCTGCTGGGAACGCTCCATCAGCCTGTCTCCCCTCCCCAAAGGGGGCTCTGCCAGGTTGAGGAGGGAGTCAGAGGTCAGGAAGGGGAATGGGCGAACCCAAAGGAGGCTCTGGGAGCACCCTAGGAATGTTTGTGGAGAAAGGTCCTATGTGAAGCAGTGATGGTGTGGAGGAGTGAGGGGTCAGGCACAGGGGTGCAGGGATAGATGGAAGAGGGCAGGGGGTTAAGGATAGGCTGTCCGGATGGGGAGTTTAGAGTTCCAACGGTGTCAGGAATGAAGAATCCAGGTAGGAGTGGAGAACTAGAGGTGAAATGGTACAGAATGAGGGATTCAGGGGTCAAAGTTGAGGTGGGGCAGGGGTGTGAGCTCAGGGATGGAGACAGCTGTGGCCTCAGGGATAGGGTCTCCTCAAGGTAGCCCTTCCGCCTCCAACTCAGGCGGGAGCAGACACCTCAGACACCCTAATCCTGTCACTGCTGCCCTCTGGGTTCCCGCAGCCTAGGGCAGGGAAAAAACTCCCCTTCTGCCCCCACCCCCCAGCTCCAGTCTCCGCCTCCGAACATCCTGTCATAAGGATTGAGCCGAGGTCAGCTCTGTGGTCCCCAAGGAAGCATAGGCTGCCCTCCTGCCCTCCATGGCAGCTAAGGGGGCATCTCCCTCAAAAAGCCCAGAGACAGAGAGGCTCTCTCAGGTCCTCCCAGGACAGAAGCCCTGTGTGTGACCCTGCCCCTCCTGCTGGCACCTTGAGCCCATGTCATTTCTGTGGAGTCTGAGACTTACCCTCAGGGTCTGTCAGGAGCTCAGAACTCCTTCCCTCAGCCCCCTGTCCTCGGGTGGAAAAGACCAGACGGGAGCAACAATCCCAGCAGGACTCTGTCCAGAGGCCCTGGCGTGTCCTCTCAGAAGAAATAAACCAAGCCCAGCTGACACGAGTTCTTTATTAGGAGTTAACAGGCACTTTCCCACCCATGGTCTCCTGGGTGCCCACACTCCTCAAAACAGACCCCCACCTCTTCCTCTCCTGGCCCACAGGCCACAGGTAGGAGGCGCAGGCTTCAAAGGGCAAGATGGAACCATTGCCTCTCTACCCCTGCCTAGCTGTGCATCCTTGGGGGGGTCCCCTCACGTCTCTGGGCTTCCTTGTAAAATGGGTCAACCTATCAGGGTGAACCTGGGGGACTCTAGATTGAAAGGATACAGGTAAGAGGCAGGGAGGGGTGTGGTGACCTGCCCAGGACCACCTCAGGGGCAGAGGTGCAGCAGACCCCTGCCCTCCAGGCTGGCCTGTCCCCTCTGGAGCAGAGGTTACTAGGAGCAGGGAGGCTCCGGGGGGCAGTCCTTGAAGTACTCGTGGCAGCAGAGACAGAGGCAGGCAAGTGAGAGCACGTACTCAGCAAAGTCCACCTCACAGTCCTTGTTGGTGTCCAGAACACTCATGAATTTATTGTAGTCACACTCCCGAAACTCCGTCTGTGCAAGTAAGGGGTGGGAAGGGCAGGCTGAGGAGGGGGCCGAACAGCTTCACACACTCCTTCCTTCCATCCTCTCCTAGGTGGTCCCACCCCATCCCAATCCACACCCCCTCTGAGGGCCCACCTCAGCCTACCTGTTCTGATAATGTGCCCATTTCAATCCCCTTCCCAAATCCTCCTTCTCGTATCATTTACTGAGCACCTGCAATTTGCTGCTGAGTGCCTACTGTGTGCCAGGCATTCTTCACGGTGCCCTCACCCAACCCTTCCAACAACCCTGCAGGTGTGATGGTTGTCCTCCCATTTCACAGATGAGGAAACTGAGGTTTCCGCTGTGGCAGTCCCCTTCCTCCCACCTCCACGCAGTGTAGCCTCCACCCTTCCTGCTGTCCTATGTCATGCTTGTCCCCAGGTCTCTTTGCAGAGTCCAAGTAGTACTCCCCGCCGGGTGGGGGAGGAGGGCGGGCCCCGAGCGGCTCACCGGGGTCCAGGTGGGCATCTCCCTCTGCAGCAGTTCCTTGAGCTCTGCCTGGCAGAGCTTGTACTTGTCCCCACAGTGCCCGGCATACTCCTAGAATGTACACACGATGGCAGCCACTGCCTGTTCCAGGGGTCTGGTCATCCTCACTGCCACAGAACAAGGGTGTGACTCATGGCAGGGGCCCAGGCTGGCCACCCTGCCCTGTGTGTTCCGCAGACACTGCTCCCAGACCCTCTTACTCTCCCCCAGGCTTCGGGCCACCAGCTACCTCCTCTCTGAGCAGCCCTCTCTGACCACACCAAAAAACCAAACCAAACCCATTGCCATCAAGTCAATTCCAACTCATAGCAACCCTGAAGGACAGAGTAGAACTGCTCCATAGGGTTTCCAAGGAGCAGCTGGTGGATTTGAACTGCCAACCTTTTGGTTAGCAGCCGGGCCCTTAACCACTACACCACCAGGGCTCCCTGACCACACCAACCCCTCCTAATTCATCTCACTACTGTCCCCCGGGTGTTATTTTCCTGGATGGAAGGCCCATATCCCTCATTTCACTGAAAATCCCTCAAGGACAGAGTATCTCTCCCACCCTTCCACCTGCCCCCTACCAGGGGGGTCTCTGAGGACTCTCTGATTCTCTCCCACCTTTACTCCGTCCCCAAAACCCAGGAAGAGCCCAGCCCCACTTGGCACCACCCCATGGCCCTCGAAGACTCCTCCTTCAGGACCCCAGAGTTCCCGCCCTAGGAACCGGCACAAGAAGACCCTCACTCAGCACTGCCCTCACAGAAGCCGGGCGGTAGACGGGGCGTAGAGTCTGAGAGGCCCTCACAGAAGCCAGGCGGTAGACGGGGGCGTTAAGTCTGAGGCTGCTGCCTCATCTCCACTCCCCTAGTGATCCCTACTCCCTCAAACTCAGGGAGAAAACTCAAAGGGAAAACTTCTAGAATCCTCTCTGCCTCTCCCTAACTGTGACAATGGGCCATTTATCCTATCCAGATCTCAGGTACCTTACCTGTAAAATGGGATTAATCCCACCCCACGGCCTGATCAGGAACCTGACCCAGAGGACCAGCTCCAGCGTTTACCAGTCCCTGACCTACCCACCCAAAGCCATTCCCCTGACCCAGGGATCTCGAGATAGAAGGCCTTGTTAGGGTTAGAGGGAAAGCCCCTCCCAGCACCCTCTGGGAGGAGGCCTCCAGCTGGGGGAACCCTAAGGCAGCAGGAAGTAATGACTCACTTCCAGCTCCCCTGGGGGATGGGAGTCCTGCAGGGCAGAGCAGCAAGAACCAAGCTCTCTCCCTGTGACTCTCCCTCTGTGGGCCCCACAGAGCAAACAGCCGCCATGGATGGTGGGTGGTGGGGAGGCCTGGGTGGAGGCCAGGCTCTAACTGACAGCCGACGATTACAACGGGGTGTCCAGGGGCCCGGGAGAGGAAGGGGCCCTGATCCTAGGGGCTAAGGGAACCTCAGAGGGGCTCAGCATGCCCTTCTGGGCTCCCGCCAGCCTGCCTGGCATCACCACTATTACTGCTCCAGAAGTAATAGTGCCTGGAGACAGGCCGGGAATCCTCTCTACCTTGTGCAGCCCTGGCCTGTCTCAACCCATCCCCAGGAATGAAGCAGAGATGCAAGGAGGAGGGAGCGGGAGCTCACTGAGAGTAACACCCGCATTTCTAGCCCATGCCCCCACCCCAGGGTCAGACCACAGCTCTGCACACCTCCTAGGACTGCCTGACTGCCCCTCACTGCCAAGGGAACCCCCAGTCCACCATATCTGACTTCTCTTAGGCCGTCAATCTCTGCCATGGTCACCCTTCTGCCCCTATGCCCAGACCTCGAGCCAGGAGACAGGCAGGCTATTGGGGGCCCTGACCTTGAACCAGGAGACAGGTAGGCTACTGGGGGCCCTGACCTTGAGCCAGGAGACAGGCAGGCTATTGGGGCCCAGACATTGAGCCAGGAGACAGGTAGGCTATTGGGGGCCCTGACCCTGA